TTGTTGCAATGACTGCCTGAAACCCGACCTACTCTCATGTGAGTCTTTGCATGCTCTAATACCATGTACTGGTTACCTCAAAATTTATGTTTTTTTATTGTAAGTGAAATGGGGATATTCATATGTCATTTGATCTTTTAGATCAGATACAAATGTCGATTAAAATACATTGGATGTTCCTCCTCTCTCTCTCTCTCTCTGTTGAGACATTGGATTTTCCTCTTTTTTTTTTTTTTTTTACCTTGATTATTCTTGCTCAGCTGTGACTCCTCCCTTTCATTGGAAGGGGGTGATTACTGTCATTGCTGCCTCAAAAGAATCACAATTTACATCTTCTTGCTATGTGGTCATGTTCCTACAGATGTAATTCATTTACTTGGTACCTTGTTTACTGATGCATTTCTGAATCGCGGTTTTGGATAGTCTGGTTGGAAGAGCTTCAGTAATCTACTCATGCCTCTTATGTGCACTCGAGCAATATGTGTGCTTGTCTATTCCAATTTTGTTCTGAATTTAGTAGAACTTCTGTTGATTTTCTCAATTTTTACTTCTTGTGGTAGAAGTATATGCTGCTAATCTTTTCCTTTTTCTTGTCAGGCGCTCTGACCGTTACTAGCTGAAAATGGTTTTGGAAAGATAGATTGGATTTTTTGTTGGTCTGGTCGGTGCTGACCTGATGTAGGATTCGCAAGATGTTACTGTTTATTTTAAGTTGTGGACGTCGAAGATTGGTCTTTTGTATTTGCTAGTGGAACCCGCCTGCTGTTGTTTACAACCGCTTGTGTATGTCAGCTTTATACTACTAGTTTTATTTTATTTGTTAAACTAGCATGATCCTCGCAAGTAAAAAAAGTTTTGTGCTTCGGTTGCTGGGAACTTGTTAATTTTGGTTAGTGAAACGAGCTCTGGCAAAACATCGGGTGGGACTGATGCTGATTTGATTTTGATTTTTCAACTCCCTTCTGTGAAGTGGGGATTCTTTTTCTTTTTTTTTTTCCTGAAAATGATAGATGATTTTATAGATAAAATAGACTTTACAGTATTTGAGCAACTGCGCAATCAGCCATACAAAGTGTACCACGATACAGTAGCTAGTTTGGGAGTTTAGAATAGAAAAGAAGAGAGAGGATAAGTTAGAAGAGAAAGGATGAGAAAGGATCGAAGTTTTTAGGGTTAAAAATAAAAAAATTCTCTGTGATATATTTAATATACAGAAAAGTTCCTATGATTTAAAAATATATAAAATGATAATTTATGTTATGAACTAAATTGTAAATTAAACAAAATTTGTTAAATTTAACGAAATTCGGTAAATTTAATAAAAAAATTAACAGAATTTGGTAAATTTAACAGTAAACTTAGTGGAATCTGGTAAGTTTAATAGTTGAAATTGTTATTTTCGTTAAGTTTAACGAATTCTGTTAGTTTATAATTTAGTTCAAAACATAAGGTGTTGTTTTGTATGTTTTGAAATTACGGGGTTTTCTGTGTATTAGGTATTTCACGGGAGGTTTTTTTGTTTTTAACCCAAGTTTTTATCTAAGTTGTTTGGGAGTTTTAAGAAATCAAAGAAGGTATTAGTTTTCTTTTGTTTGGAAGTTGAATACAAATAAAAAGAAAAGATATTCAAACAAGTCATTTTACAAATGTGTCCTTTTTATAAAGTGAAAGGAGGTGTTTTGAGGGTTTTCTAGTGGGAGAACTCATGGGGGATTAAAATTTTTTATACCAGGATTTTAAGAGTAGTTTTGTTATATTTGAAAACTTACTTAATAGCTAGTTTGTGAGTTGAGGATAGAAAAGAAAGGAAGAGAAAGGTTAAGTTATGAGAGAAAAGAAAAGAAGGGAAAGGGTTTTAATGTTGTTTGGGAGTTTATGAAAGAAAAGAAGTGATTTTGGATACATAAGTAAATAAATATTTCATTCAATAGCTTTTTGGGGGTAGAATGGGCAATTTAAAAAACTTTTTGCTGCCTTTCCGTGCTTTCCTTTGCTTTCTGCCCGATTTGGGCCGGAAATTTTTTTTAAACTGTAGCTACTTTTTCCTCCTTTCAATTCCGTCGGTTTCTTTTCCTTTCCTTCCACTTAAAGCTCTCAAACGTGGGAGATGCAGTCTTTCTCTTCTATTCCTTTCTTTTCTGTTCAAATCTCATCTCCCAAACTAGCTAATAAGACTTTTGCATTTTCCTTCGCTTTTTGATCAATTTTGGGCGGAAAGTTTTCTTTTACGTAGAGGGTGATGAAATCTTTTCAAATCTTTCCTTTCTTTCATATTTTAGCTCCTAAACAATGAAAAAACTTTATTATCCTTCCAAAATCTTTCTTTTCTTTTCATTTCCTTCCTTCCAAATTAGCTAGTTATTAAGGATTAATAAAAGTTCTCTCTTCGTCTCTAAACATGCCTATTGCATATAGGTTGAGACATTAATCTTTACTATCAGAATTTCTCACACAGAAGGAGCACAATTCAAACAAGCTGGCTAGTGCAATGATGTCCTCCACCAGTGATGTGAACGCAAGAATATCTTGTACTGTGCCCGACCTTATCAAAGCAGCGAGGTGTTTGTTCCAATTTGGTATCAAAGCTTACTACAAGAGGGAAAATCTCGAACTCTCTCTCTAGCGACCAAGGTACTCTGCAAGACTGGCACTCAAGAACGTTTCGAGGAAATGAACTCATAGATTTCATATGCCGTCGTCCGAAGTTTTTTTTTGCTGATAATAATATGTGGGTTTTTGCAAGAGATTCTGCTTATAATAAAGTGCCTATAATTAGGTGGAAATCGACTCTAGAAATTCATTAATATGATTAGCAGCTTTTGCAATTGACGTCGGAAAACTTGTTGTTTAACCATTGAGGTCACTGGGTAACAGTCCACCTCCGCGCATTATTTTGCGAAAGACAAATGCGGCTGCACCGGTTTGGTTTTTCTTTGGATGGAATTTTCTTTTACTAGGTATTTTAGAAAAATAATACTAGAGCGACGTTTGAAATAAATGTGTAATTTTTTTTTTGTCAAAAACATAAGCTATATAATTGCGAGTAAAGGCTTGAATTGGCCTTACAATCAGTCAGTGCACATGATATTGAGGAAGTATGATTTTCTCGTCTAATGTAATGCCTAAAACAAGAGAGCTCATCTTAGAATTTATATTATCCTTATCATTTTTAACTAGACAAAAAGAGCACATTTGAAACAATATTTTTAATTGAAGAATATCTTCCACCAAAGTATCTACCTGATGTCCTAATTGAAGAATATCTTAATTGAAGTAAACGTGTATGCGAGAAGAAAAAATAGTTGAAAAACACATTTCGAGTTTTTAACATGTTTTGGAACAGCTTCTTTAAAAAAAAATTTTTTTTTTTGGAATTCCTTGCCCCAATTTTTCAGAGGTTAATTACGTGAAATGATAGTTCACACGTACATTTAGCACATTTAGCAATAGTTTAGTAGTTGGAGGTTAGGCTTTTATTTCTCATTTGCCTTGTACCAAATTCAATGAGGATTGGAATCCAAAAATGCTACTAAAAGACAGCAATAATTATTGAGCATCTACTTCATTTTGTGAATTTTTAAGCACAACAGTCATTGCTATATCTGATTCCACAAAGGCAACCTGTATCATCAAATTTAAAAATTTTGTATTGGCTGTCTCGGGGTTGTCCATGATAAACATATAGGAAAATCACACCTAATAGTAGCACATGGATAAAACAATTAACAAAATAAGAAGGGTGAATATTTTACCAAAAAATCTCTACGTTTTTTGTGAACATATTTCTTAATTACTTTTTTAACTCACATATATCAAATAGTTACAGCACATTTTCTATAAAAATTCCAAAAAATTGCAATCCAATCCAAACCCTCATGCTTTTCTAAATTCTGAGATAAATTGCTCAAACTAAATACTACTATCACAAGAAATTGGACAATAACTCTGAGAAACAAAGGGTTAAGAAGGCTTATTACTAAGAGAATATTATTATTATGACTGTAAATGTTCACATTAACGGCTAAAACTAGAGTTAGTCTTAAATTCATAAGAGTCGTGAGTTTCAAAATTCAAAATTTAAAATGTGGGCATGAGGCAAAGAAAGCTGCTGCCAGTGTTCAGAAGTATTAGTACCGTACCACAGACTCTTCAGTCTGCCTTTCTTCAAGAATCAAGACACGACTACCATTACCATTGGGCAATTGGCATTGGGAGCCTGCTATATTTCCAGCTCCCCATTCCCAAGACACATTACATTGATTACACTCTCCAAAGTCATCCTCTTCCTTTTCACCTTCCATTTTTCCCCCCCACGCTCCCCCTCCTTCATCTTCTTTGAAGCGTTCAAACCACATAATAATGCCGGACTTTTTTACCAAATGCTGTGCTATAAGAAAGGGCCTTCCTTGATCATGCACATTTCTATCACCTTAGTCTGAGTTAAAAAACAAGAAATAAAAGAAAAAAAAAAAAAGGAAGAAAGGACCATCGTTCATTTTTTTCCCATAGTTAATGCTGGTATTTTGCTGGCTTAAATGCTGTAAACTCAGCTTCTAACTTGAGAATTTTAGCGGCTTTCTTGGCTAAATTTTTCTTTTTTTGAGAAGCTTTAGATGTAAGCTTATATGCTTTTCAACAAAAGGTGGTGCAAAGTTGGGATTTTTGTTAGTATAGATATCGAGAATGAGAGAAGAAAATCAGTCCGGGAATGGAGCAAAAGCTTCAAAATTTACTGATCAAAATCAGTTTCCAGTGAAAGGGGCTGGCAAGAACAATGTCAAAGGGACCAATGGCCATCTTTCAAGGGTGAAGTCGTCATGGGGTTCTCAAATTGTGAAGGGTTTTTCTGGGGAGAAGAAGAGTAAGTTGCAGACAACATCACAGAGCAAGCAAGTTCCTCTTGCAAGCTCTAATGTAGGGAACCAGAAGAACCCTTTTGGGATTTCGCATTCGAGAGTGAAAAGGTCTCTCATTGGTGATTTATCAAAAGTCAAAACCACCTTACAAGTGTAATGAGATTTTAAAACCTCATGGAAATCACATTTAAAATGAGAGAGAACCTAGATTTCGAGACAACCTTACAAAATGCGAATAAAACTAAGATCAGGAATAACTATCAGGGCTGAACAAAAATAGTTGTTGAAACATGATCTACAACGTACGAACTAACCCACTCATCTTCTTCGCACTGCAGCACTTTGTCCACGTTGCTGCACCTGAGAGCCAGCTTGTCCACCACCCTGTTGTTCCTCAGGCATGTTCATTGCTTGGGTCATAGCATTCATCACAATAAGTCCCAGAGGAAGCAAGTACATCCACTGAAAGAGAGATGGAAGAACAATGAACACCAAAAGAAGCACCAGTAAATCTCATTATCAGATCAGGAACAACCACAAGTATATGGCTATAGTGATTCTCACATATTTAGCCCAAAATGATCTCTCTGGAGGTGCTACTCCTTCACCTTCTCCATTCTCACCAACAGCAGTTTCTTCAGAAAATACTGGAGTTCTGTTACAAATATTTTGGTCAATTACATACTCATCCCAATTATAAAAACAAACTTGAAGATGTAGACAAGGGAAAGTACTGGAGTTCTGTTTCAAATATTTGGTCAATTACATACCAATCCCAATCATAAAAACAAACTTGAATATGTAAACAAGGGAAAATAAAGGGTATCAAAAGGAAATGTAGCATATTCGTTCCTCCTAATGAGTATAAACAAATAAACAATATTAAATCAAGTGAATTCCCAAATGGTCCAGTAAATTTGTGAAATTGAAAGTGCTTCGACTTAAACAAAGTTTGGTTTAGCAACGATGAATTACATTATTTGCACCACAGCAAAACACAAGAAGGATGACAATCACTATATGGTTACAAAAGACACCCTAATAAACAACGGGAAAAACTAAAGCAAAAATCATACAAACTAGAAGATCACCTTGGCGCCTGCTCACCACTCTTTAAGACAGTGTGCGAGTTAAACAACCACCTTTTTGGCTGCAAAAGAGACAATAAAATCATATTAAGACATAAAATGATATCTACCCATAGCAGTTTTTCAGTCAACAGTTCCCTACAACTTAAAAGGCATGGTATAATCATAGTACTTCTACAGGAAAAGGTAGCAACCCTTACAAATCTTCAAATTATCCGAGTCAGTCAATATTCCAAATTAAGTGTCCAGCAAGATCGACTGATGTATTTCGATCAAATACAGGAAACTTTAAATGATTATTCTGGCTACTACAAGTATTAAAACAAGGTCAGGGAAGAAAGGAAAAAACGAATTGCTAAGTATGCACTTACAAATTTCAAGTGCCGAGGATATTGACATGCTCCTTGAGAACCATAGTTAACAGCCAAGACATTGACACCATCCTGGAATTGTATATAAGCAAATAATGAAGCATGTATTGCACAACAAAAGAAAGTCAAATTTGAAAATGTCCAAAATTAGAAGCAAAAAATTAAAACCCTGAATATAAAACAAGAAAAGGCATATATGAGAACTTGCATGGTAAACATTAGCAAATGTCCAGGAATAGACTTTGTTTATTCCAGTAGCATACTTCAACAAAGCATTGGAACTTTCTCAGCTCATTTCATCTTCCTCAACATGCAAGGTAGAGGCTATTACATGGTTAGGTCAAATAACAACGACTAGAAGAATATACAAATCCACCAAAATTGATCTTATGTTCATGACATATAAGTCGTTATAATTGAGGTAGAAGCAGATACATAAAACAACAAACATGGGTTTTGTCAACTGGCATGAAGTTCAGTCAGCTGCACCAGCATTCGTAGGTACAATGAAAAAGTCAAAAGCTGGAAGTACAGCATTAGACTGACAGAATAGTTTTAAGAAGAAGAATATTATTTTATTCATTATTTCACCTTTTTTTAAACTTCAAAATATACTGGCAAAACCTTCATGAAGCACAAGAATCCATCCAAGTATATTGACTACACAGAACACAAAATCCTCCAATAGAATTTCTCAATCCTAGAATTCATAAAGGAATGTGGTTATTTGACACATTCACCAATTCATAGAAGTCTCATGATATGCTTTCAAAGAACACGTGGATATGAAAGTATGACGCTGTGCTACATGCAGACAGCCAAAGTTATACAGGATATGCTTTAGAATAATTTAACACAAAAGGCAGAAGTCCTGAAAAAGATTAAGAAAAATCATATTCAAGGATTAGTTCATGCAATATAGAACATCTGGCACTGAATAATACCATGTGAATGACAATGTGCTCATCCAAGCCATGACGTGGAAGACATCTCTGGAAGTCATAAAAGCATCAGCACCATGTCAAAGTTTTGCAGTGCATAGCTCAAAGGAGAAGAATGGGGAGAAAAATAAAAACAGAACCCCTTTAATCATGCAATGCATCACCATACCAATGATAAGTGCAAAAAACTCCTATACCATTTCAATATCAGATGAAAGAAAACAGTCAAATGGCAAGACCAGGAACTATTCAAAGTGACAAGTGCATTGAGTAACTATAAGTCAAAAAGTTTTAGTTCAAATAATGCAATATGCACTTAAAACGTTGTCAAACTTTAAATAAAGTTAATTTCTGATGTATAGGGTACTAAATTTTAAAACTAAAGCAAAAAAAAAAAGCTTTTCTCAGTTCTGGGGAAAAGAAGATTAATGCTTTATGGCACACACCATGACACGCAAGCATTAAATTATAAACAAGATTCATGCTTTATGGTACATAACATGGCATGCACGCTCAATGACATACTTGTCCTCAAGTCAAACAAAGTATAGTGCATGTCAATAACATTGCAGATTCAAACTTACCGCTTTCACAGATGAAATAACATAATCTATGCCAGGAGGAGTTAATAGATTTGATGGTATTCTGATCCTATAAAAGTCATCAGCTTCCAGAAGTTTCTGCAAAAAATATTCATCAATAGTTCATAACATTCAATCCTTCAAAATTGGATATTGAGAAAAAAAAAGCACGCAAAATAAACAATTACTTTGAAATTATCCTTATCTGCAGCAGTAAAATCAGTCCTCGAGAATCGAAGCTTTGTCAGAGTCTGTTCCATACATATCAAGAAACGCTCAACATAGCCATCTACAATAATTTAAACAAAATCCATGTTCTATACATAAATATGTCAGCATTTATACTAAAATCCTAGCATAGCAATAGCATGTAACTAATCAAATGCAAAAAAATTGATTCAACTAAGTAGGAGTTCGAGTGAGGTACAGCTCCAATTGATCACGTACAACAATTCACTCCACTAATCAGTCAGCATTAAAGCTTAAAACATTTAACCCCAGCAACTCTAGACGTGTAAATAATACAAGTAAACTACCTGCGCAATCAAAGACTGAAAAAGCATTGAGTACTGCTGCTAAGCCCACAATCACGTGTATGTACTGAAAAAAGTAAAATTTTAAGGGGTCGGGCACGAACCTGACCGCTATGCGGCGAATTCTTTACCCGGGCAGCGAAGGTACCGGCAGGAGAGAAATCGGAGTCACCGAAGGCGTGCTCCAGAGTGAACTGGACCTTGGAGTCTAGGTCGGATCCGGAACTAAAATCCGGAGGAGACCTTTCCGCCGGCTGAGATGGTCGGGCTGGAATAGTGGAGCCCACATCAGGGGTGGATCCCGAGCCCCCTTCAAGACCGAATTCTTCGTCGTCCACGAGGAGCTCGTCCGATTGGAAAGCAAACGACGACGTAAGAAGAAAAGAAAGAGTCAGCAGAAGAAGAATCCAGCTGGAGGATTTAGGAGAATATGCGGTGATCTTCATTTTTTCCCCCCCAAAATTATGGGGAAAGAAAGAATCTACGAGTTGAGAAGTCGGGCAGCGGAATTTGTCTGTTGGAGTAAAAACTAACGATTAGAACCCCAGAAGACTAATGATCAGAACACCAGAACTAATGAAGTCACGGAACATGAAAATTTCTTTTAAACAGTAAAGGCAAATTGCTATTGAATCCTTTGCTTAAAGTTCATTGATGTTTTTGTCCACTTCTTTTACTTTCCTTCTCGGTCGCCTAGTTAGAGTATTTTTCTCTTACTATGCTGGGTAGTGGGGAAGGTACGGTTAGAAGTGCAAATGAGTCCAACCTAATCTAATAACACGCGAGCTTGCTCAATCAAAGTTTGAATTCGAACTTGTATTGATCGAGTTTAAACTCGAGTTTGATCTACTTGAACTATTTAATAAGTTGAGTTCGAACTTAATACATGAAAGTTGAAAGTTTCTTGAGCTTAATCGAGTTCAATCAAACTTCACATACACACACATATATTTTTAGGATAAAAAATCTATTTTGTTTCTTGTTTAAAATTATATGAATTTATATTTTTTTCAAACTCAATTAAGCTTAATTAAGCTCGATTGGGCTTAATGAACATAAGTTCGAGTAATGTAAAATAAAATCGAATTCGAGTTTGAACTTGACTTTCAAGAATTCAAAGAGTTCGAACTTAAGTTCGAATCCAAGTTTTTTTAATTACACTACTCGAGTTCGACTCGATTCGATTATACCCTAAACGGGGTTGGAGGTTGTTAGGGAAAAGACTATTGATGTATGAGTGTTTTTGGGTATTTTAAAATTTTTTTAGGCGTGTTTTTTTTTTGTGTTATCTTTACTCAATGTTTTTAAACAAAATTTTTGAAAGGAAATACTCTATATGTATATTTGTATTTTAGTCTCCATTGGGGATGGCTTTAATTTTTTAAAATAGAGCAAATTTTTGGCTAACCTATCCAATTAAGCATGTGTTTGTTAAAATAGATCTGGATACCAAATCTTTTTCAGATATTATTTAATATAAACATATTTTTCAATTACGTTTTTATTTTTTCATCTAATACTTTTTTTATTTCACATAAAATTCATTATTATAAAAAGTGTTATAATAAGTATCTTATCCACACATGTTTTACCATGATTTTACCTCACAAAAAATAGAAAGTATATATATATATATGTATGTATTTCACACAAGTGCCTAAGCAGTAGCTAACAGTCTAATATTAGCAATTAGGCCTAAATTTAAAACCAATTTACACAGTCTAATCGTTTATGGACTTGATATCCTTATAGGCTCCGATTCCAATCGAGCGAAAACCCTAACTCTCGTTTACGAGAAATAAAAAAGCCCTACCTCTCGGATAAAGAGAGAGAAGGGTTCTGCAACTCTGGTTCAGCCATGGACGCGATAAGGAAGCAACTCGATGTCTTAATGGGAGCGAACCGAAACGGCGACGTCAGGGAGGTGGATCGCAAGTACTACGACCGTGACGTCTGCCGTCTTTTCCTCTCTGGCCTGTGCCCTCATGAGCTCTTTCAACTCACTGTGCGTACCTTTTACTTCTGCTTTCCTCTTAAATCTCATCTTTTCCTCTTTCTACCTCCATTTAGTCTGTGTATGCTTTGATTAATCCCTAGATTGAAAAGTATAGCAGATTTCCATTTTTTCTTTACTGCTGGTACTTTTGGTTGAATGGAGAGGCTAGATGTAATTGGAGTTGCAAAATTTAAGTTTAGCGGCTGTTTTAGTTGGGATTTCCATTTCTATTTCAACTGCTGGTACTTTTGGTAGAATGGAGACGTATAAATGTGACTGAGATTCCTGTAAAACGTTATAAAACGGAGAAAAAGCTCCTTTCTTTGATATAGCTGTTGAGTTTGCAGATTAAAGAATTAAATAAGAAGTTTTGATCTGGGGCATACTCAGTTGGCTAGTTTTGATACTCAGTTGGCTTGTATCTGTAGTAGTAGTAGTAGTAGAAGTAATTATTTTCTTTGGTTCTTAATTGTACTTTTTGGTTTAATAAATTTTCTCAACTTCACATGTTGCAGAAAATGGATATGGGACCATGCCCAAAGGTGCATTCGTTGCAGCTGAGGAAAGAGTATCCTTTTTACCTACTCTTTATGCGGTTATGGTCCAGTTTTTGATCGACCCCAAGATATGTTCAGTGTTTTAGATATTTGTAGGTTTTATGACTTAAAGAAATCCATTTTGGGCAACTATTATCAATGCTATTGCTTAGGAACGACGCATGCTTCTGTCCACAACATCTCATCAATGACTGGCACATTATGTGGTTGAAATTGAACTATAAAGTTTCAATTTGTCTTCGTGTTACTTTAACTCTATCTAGGTATGAGGAATCGAAGGCAAAAGGTACTGACAACTATGATAGGGACTTGGAGGATGTCATTGATAGACTTATTGTTGAGTGTGACCGGAAAATTGCTAGAGCTCTTAAAAGACTTGATGATGAAGATGCTAAGGCTGCTATTGCCATCTCAGTATCCGAAGTTACGCAGGTAATCAGAATATAATTGCCTCTTCTCCTTTAGTTTTTCTCTTTTGTCTTTTGTAGTGACTGAACTAATAATCTGACTGGCAGACACCAGAGATTCTAGAATTATCAAAACAAATCAAGGAGAAGCTGAAAGAAGCTGATCAATATGGTAAAGTCCTAACACATTCATATTTTTCTATTGAACTGAACTTTCTTCTACGACCTATGTCATCTATTTCTGCAGTATCATCTTTAATATGGTTAACAAGTGAAAGATCATTGTTCTTTGAACAAAAATGTTCTAAAGCATATTTGATCTTGACTTTGTATGCATTAACTGTAAGTTGAAAGTAATGTTGGTAGGTCTTATCTAAATTAATGCAGAAAAAGTTAGAATGTTGGATTTCTTTTCCCTGGTTCTATTTTGCCTTTTTGTGTAGGAAAATCTGGCAGATAGCATGAAATAAGCTCCTGAAGCAGAAATTAGAATCACGAGTATTCTTGTAGGAAAATACCTCCTATGGTGTAGGAATGCCCAAGATAGCTGATGAATTATATCATGAATAGTCAGAAATTTATGGACCTTCACATTTTTGTTGTTTATCCATTTTTCAGTCTCTGACATTTAAAATGATGTGTTATGGTTATCAAACTGATCCAAAATTTAATCCCAGGCTTGTCAGTCCTTTTTTTTGGTCCTAACATGGTCATTCCTGCATCAATAATATAAAAAAAGTCCTGTTGTGACTTGTGTCAGACCTTGTTGAAGGAAGTGTCTGGTTAAATCCTCTTTTCTGGTTATACTTCTTGAATATAAAGCATTTACATGGTGTGCATAGATTGTATCATTTAGCTTGAATTGCTTTGTGTCATACAATTCCTTTTGCATTTATAATGATGCCCTGGCATGGCATAGATCTCTTAGATATGTTCTACTACAGATGAAGTATACTTAAGAAGTGGAGGTATCTACTTTTTAATAGCCTGTTGGAAGTCATTCCTGATAGTGTATATGGTTTCTTTGGATTCACCATGTATTTCTTGTACAGTGTGTCAACACTAGTCACACACTAGTCATAGATGAATGTATGACTCCGTTTTAGTAGTAACTCTGACTTTCTAGGATGAGAATGATTTTATAAGGTCGTTAGTATTTGTAATGCTGCCTGTGATTGAATAATCATATAGATCTTGAAGGCAAGACGGATATGAAGATTAGAGCTCTTGAAGTGGTGGAAGAGCTCAGGACTAAAAGAGCAGACAAACAGGTAATGCCTGCTTTTCAGCACCCATGGTTGCTGATTACTATGGAATTATTGCACTGGGCTAAATTGACTTCCAGATTCATGCATATGTATCTTTTCTTAATGGCAGTCGATGCTACTTTTGGATGCTTTCAACAAGGATCGAGCTTCGCTACCTCAGCCTCTTACGAACCCTCCCCAATTGGCACCTTTGCCTGCTGCTACTCCTGATCCTCGTATACAGGAAATGATAAATGAGAAGCTAAAGAAAGCTGAGGATCTTGGTAAAGCTTGCCCTGGACAATTTTGATTTCTTGGCCCATATAAACACAGGACATTGTTTGTTTGTTCACTATACTGTTTCTGCTGCTTTTAGTTTTGAAACTTTAAGTGACATATTGTTCTAGCTGGAAGGGACAGGGTTTATAGCTTTTCTATTTCCTCTGTTAATGTGTCTACTTATTGAGAATCTTGTGCAGTCTTCAAGAGCTAACATGAGTTGTTGCTTTGTTCATGCTTATTCAGTTTTAAACATGAGTTTAAAGGAAATAATGGTGTAAAGCTATGTTGATAGTAATACAAGGTTTTATTGCTAAGCCAACTGAAGTCGGGTGGGTACAAATGGCTTGGGGTTCCTTCACAGGGAAAGACTAATATTCAAGGGAACACAATATGTAGGATTCTTTTTCTAAATTTAAAGTATAAATCTTTAGGGATCTATGATAAGGTTTGTTTCCAAGGCAGGAAAAATTAAAGCACTGAAGGACAGGAAAGAGAAAACCAGTAATCTTATGGAATTAGGTTGTTAATGTTAGCTTTCTTAATTACATCCAGCAAAAGAAAAACAAGGGGAAAAAGAGGGGAAAATGGACAGAGCAAGGAAGCCAACACCAAGCAAGAGCCAATAACTTGCTTTCTTCTCTCTCTTTGTAATATTTCTTCTAGTGAAATATTAAATTGTCGGTAGTGTCCGAGGACGTAGGCAAATTAGCCGAACCTCGTTAAATTCTGGTGTTCTATTTTATTGTCTATTTAGTAGCTATATTTGTAGGTATATTTGTAGTGAGTTATTGTGCAATTAAGTGCATATATAGGTGATTCTGTCTAGGAAATTGGTATTTAAGCAGGCCAGTGTGCCTCACCAAATATTTCCTGGGAATTACCATTTTTGCAATTTTAGGTACAATAATTTACTCGTTATACCTTTGGTAGGGCTTCCGCAACAATTTGGTATCAGAGCAATTCGGCGAAGCCAAGAAAATTCTCGGCATGAAAATAAGTAGAGATAGAAGATTGGGGAGGCTTTATTTGACACAGAAAGAGTATCTTAGTAAAGTATTAAAGAGGTTTGGTATGAATGAAAAGACTAAACCTGTTAGTACTCCACTTGCTCCTCATTTCAAGTTTAGTGCATCGTTATCTCCAAAGAATGATGCAGAACGAGAATATATGGGAAAGGTACCGTATGCAAATGCGGTGGGTAGCTTGATGTATGCTATGGTGTGTACAAGGCCCGACATTTCACAAGCAGTTGGAGTTGTGAGCAGGTACATGCATGATCCTGGCAAGGAGCATTGGCAAGCTGTGAAATGGATTTTACGGTATATTTTGAACACCGTAGATGTTGGATTAGTATTTGAGCGGGATGAGAAGATTGGTCAAGGCGTAGTTGGATATTGTGATTCCGACTACGCAGGAGATCAAGATACACGTCGATCAACGACTGGGTATGTTTTTACACTTGCTAAGGCACCAGTCAGTTGGAGGTCTACCTTACAGTCAACAGTTGCTTTGTCTACTACAGAGGCGGAGTATATGGCAGTTACGGAAGCTGTTAAGGAAGCAATTTGGCTTCATGGATTGCTTGATGAATTGGGAATTGGACAGAAGTCTATCAAAGTTCATTGTGATAGTCAGAGTGCTATTCATTTAGCAAAGAACCAAGTTTATCATGCAAGGACGAAGCATATCGACGTACGGTATCATTTTGTGAGGAAGATTTTGGAAGATAGTACGATACTACTTCAAAAGATTCAGACCAAGGAGAATCCTGCTGATATGCTTACGAAGGTTGTGACAACTATCAAATTCCAACATTGTTTGAATTTGATAAATGTTGTGCACAACTTGAAGATTGGCGCTTGACAACGCATTTGAAGACACCACCGAATTTGAGGGAAAAAAATTTGTATTTTTGGTGGGATTAGAAATTATGCCAAGGTGGAGATTTGTTGAATTCAAAGCCAAGCCTCAATTGATGACTTTTTTCAAGCCAAAATTCAGGACTTTGAATTCTTTGGCCTAAGTTTCTAAATCCCACATCGGTTAAGTTTAACATTTGAGAGGTTGTTTGAGAACTATAAATAACTCTCAAACAAACCAATTCAAGTACACCAAGCAAGAGCCAATAACTTGCTTTCTTCTCTCTCTTTGTAATATTTCTTCTAGTGAAATATTAAATTGTCGGTAGTGTCCGAGGACGTAGGCAAATTAGCCGAACCTCGTTAAATTCTGGTATTCTATTTTATTGTCTATTTAGTAGCTATATTTGTAGGTATATTTGTAGTGAGTTATTGTGCAATTAAGTGCATATATAGGTGATTCTGTCTAGGAAATTGGTACTTAAGCAGGCCAGTGTGCCTCACCAAATATTTCCTGGGAATTACCATTTTTGCAATTTTAGGTACAATAATTTACTCGTTATACCTTAACTTAAACGCTTCTTCATATTGAGCCTGTTCTGACAATTTTTCTTCAAGAACTTCTCCTCCAATCCAGTCCATAATTTATTTGCAGAGGTTTCTTTTGAGAACACATATTTTTGTTCCCTTGAAAGACACGATCGAATTGTACCACACGCTAAACGATTTAGCGTCCTCCATTCCTTCTCTTCAATCTCTTCTGGTTTCTCTTTTTCGATGGCAATGTCTAGACCTTGATTAAAGAGCGCGTCTAGAATCTCACTTTGCCACATGCCGAAATGACCGGTACCATCAAATGTCTCCACATTTAATTTTGTATTCGTCATAACATTTCTCGCCATAATAGATAATGACGAGCTTGTTGATGCTTGCATTGTAGATGAAGATCTACTTTCGGCCATCTCTACAAATTATATTTAGTAGCTCCTAAATGTAGAGTAACAATAGCCCAAGAAATCTTTTCTGATGTGGAAGATCAGACCATGCTGCAACCACAGAGCATACTAAGAAACCTCGAGCTCTGATACCAATTGTTGCGGAAGCCCTACCAAAGTTAAGGTATAACGAGTAAATTATTGTACCTAAAATTGCAAAATGGTAATTCCCAGGAAATATTTGGTGAGGCACACTGGCCTGCTTAAGTACCAATTTCCTAGACAGAATCACCTATATATGCACTTAATTGCACAATAACTCACTACAAATATACCTACAAATATAGCTACTAAATAGACAATAAAATAGAACACCAGAATTTAACGAGGTTCGGCTAATTTGCCTACGTCCTCGGACACTACCGACAATTTAATATTTCACTAGAAGAAATATTACAAAGAGAGAGAAGAAAGCAAGTTATTGGCTCTTGCTTGGTGTACTTGAATTGGTTTGTTTGAGAGTTATTTATAGTTCTCAAACAACCTCTCAAATGTTAAACTTAACCGATGTGGGATTTAGAAACTTAGGCCAAAGAATTCAAAGTCCTGAATTTTGGCTTGAAAAAAGTCATCAATTGAGGCTTGGCTTTGAATTCAACAATTTGCACATGTTACGCTTTGTTGCATGCATCATTTAAACTTAAATTGGTCACGTCCATTACCCTACAATTCAATGTGAGTGATCGGAACTAAGTTGCAAACCTGTATCATTGTGAAATTGAAATATTCGGCCAACGATTGAATAAATCATCATCAATTCTGAATTTTCAGGAACTTCCGGAGCATCAAAGATCAGATGCTATGAATAGCATGGTTTACGAAGCTGCTGCAAGAATCACGGATCCAGTTTACGGTTGCGCTGGTACAGTGACCCTACTTCAGCAGCAAATCCTGGGGCTTCAAGAAGAGTTGGCGAAAGCGCAGGGCGAGATCCTTAATATGCAATGCCAGATTGCCAATTTAGTCTCGTTAAATTGGATGGAAATGTTTCCGTCGCAAGAGCAAGAAACCATTAATGTCTCGGGGCTGCAGCAAGATATTATCCATATGTCGGAAAAACAGCCATGGGATGACAGTGACACAACTAATTTTTCTTTAGAACAATTTTGTACACATGAGAAAGCTATGGGCATATGACTGGTGGCCATATATATAAAGGGCTGAAACTGCTCAAAAGTTTGCAACGCCATTCTAATATATATATTTAGGGTGCCTTTAAACGTTGATGTTTGAATGGGATTGGATACTTTAATAAATACATGTATGCCCATTGAGTGATCAGTGGTTCTTTGATTGTTAGAGAATACTGAATGGTATTTTTCTCTTAGTTGATGGCAGTAATACAAGGTTTATGACAGAGTAATTTTCTCATTATTGCATGGACGGAACTTGCTACATTATTTTGTTACTGTATTTGCATCTAATAATAAGCACCAAAAATTACTAGCCTGAACCAGGGGGACTTCATCAATATCAGCAATCATGCAACTGTCCAAGCTATATTTGTGGGTACTAAAGTTTCAACCTAGATTAAGAATATCAATTGGTTATGATTAATGGAACTCATGTTGGGGTCTCATCTTTCATTTTACCTAATACTACAACCATGGTAAAAATTTTAAAAAAAAATGCTCATCTTTTCAACGAGTAGCAACAACTCAGCAATTGGCATCCCCAAAAAGAAAAGGGTTCTAACAAAATCACATAACAAAGTTCTTCAAATGGACTTCCCATGAATGAAGTGATAATTCCCTTCAATCCAATCATCATAAACCCTTGTTGGGATTGCTATTTTTCTATAAAAAAATTTTTTGAATTTTTTAAAAATATTCCCTCGATACATCTTTTGATCACGTTTTTACCTCACATTCATAACGTCTAAGAAAAAGTGCTACTCTATTAATTTTTGAAAAAAATTTCAAAAATTCCAATCCAAATGGGCGTTGTGTATTCAGTTTGGACCTAGATCCATTGCATCGACCCAAATGGCCTGTGGTTTGCTGACCTTTCTTGATTTCACCTACACTGGGTTCCTTTGGTTGTTAGCTAGGATTGGGAAAGAAAGTACACTCGATGTACAAGAAGTCCAAAAGTTTGATCTATAATCAATGGGCTCTGTCATACTTTGTAGCCCTTTTTAAATTTCAAAAGATTAATATATAAAATTAGCAAATTCCAGTGACCCAGTTGCATCAATTGAACTATTGTAATTTTTTAAATTTCAATTCATATCAACCTTTATGTCGAGTGATTTTTATTTTCTAAAACAAATTTTTTTTTTTTTTGCTTTGAGCTCTTAGGCGGCCTAGCACTTGGATCAGCAAGATACTAATTTCATGCACGCAATTTTCACACCCAAAAAAATATATAAATAAATACACTTGCCTACATTTTTTTTTATCGAGATACACACAGATTTTACCTGGACCAAAAGGGTGTCTGGCACTACTCTTGGATTTTTTTCACTGCATGCGAGATTTGAACCCTCACCTACAGTCCAATGAGGGACTAAAGTCTCACTCGATAGCCACTGAGCCAAGCCCAGTGGTTAAATACACCCGCCTGCATGATAAGCACTCTATCTTTCCAGAAGAAATTGGAAATTGAGGTACTTATAGTTGACTTAAATCTGAAATTTTATTCCACCTTAGGGCGATTGACTTTGTTTCTGAATTTCTTTCTTGAGTTCCTTGAAATCTATAACACCATAAATTGGTGTTGTATATATCTCTATGATTTTCACACCAAAACCTAAATGAATAAAATTTTCAAACTCCAGCATTTTATTTCTTTGGTCCTTAAATATTTTTATTCAACGATTAATCTTTTTAGACGCTGTTTTTTTTTTTAAAAAAAAACTACAAATTTCATCTCACGCGTTCAGATTTTCCTAACTAGAAACGTTAAATGGTCTACATTAAAGATTAAATATACATTAGGGATCTGGTAATCCAACTTAAATTATTATTAGTCCAATATACCTTTTTTTTTCACTACAAATTTCATCACACGCATTCAGATTTTCCTAAATATAAACCTTTCAAGGTCTACATTAAAGATTATAAATATATATATATATATAGTAGGGACTTGATAATCCACCTTTAATTATTATTATTATTGGTCCAATATACCACCCTTTTTTCCAACTTGGAGTTGTTCATATTTTATTTACAGAAAAAGAAAAGACTCTCTCACACACAGACTCGCATTTGGTCAATGTGATGATGCCACAGCTGAATTCATCATATTCTGCATTCATTTGTCAAAAACGTGTAGAATATAGTCATATACATACAATACAAGTGCGTATTTGGTACATGGCTTTCCAGATTGAGATAGATAAGTATGACTTAGGTCGGGCATCTTTCTGTTTTCAGTCTACCTACCTTGGCCACTATATGAATATGATCACTCCATGATTAAGCAGTCAACTCGTGGCTCATGTGCAATTCTGTGCAGCAGCTCCAGCAGGCCCCAAGGTTTGTATTAATACAAATTCTGAATGTACAGAATAATATGTTCTGTATTTAAACCATGCTAGAAAATTTTCATTTCTGATATACTACAACAATCGTTCCAATTCTTTGTCCCAAATGTAGAACTCCTTTTAGGAGTTCTTCCGGCTTAGAATTCAGATGGTACAATTAATGACAGAATTATCATCATTAATTTCTATATAATCTTTCATGCATGTACATATCGGTGATTGGAGGGAGAGTTAGATGGAGTAGTAAAGTGGGAGAGATTGTAAATAAGAGATGTTGGATTCAAATCCTCTAAAAGTAGATGTTTTTGGAGGTGTTTTTGAAAAATTTTACTGTAGCAGTGCATATAAAAATTTTTTACTATAAATTTTTTTTTTTAAATATTTGATATATTGTATGGATAAGATGTTGTTTGAGTTATTATCTATTACTGTAACATTGTATTTGAAAAATTTGTTTTTGAAAAAATAGCCAATCCAAACGGAGCGATATCATTGCTGATAAACTTTAGAAATTGGCCCAAAAAAGAAAAGTAATTTATTGAATGAAATTCCGGGTTTTTGTTTAGTTCGATTGGGATACATCTTTTATTCATGATTGTTGATAACGTTGTTAATTACCAACCAAAACACAGGTTGTTGATTTAAGGGCTTATGTTCTTTTTATTTTTATGTCAAGAGTAACGATTCAACAATGTTGCCCTTGTGCTCCATTGAGTAGATGTTCCCCAGCAAAATATAAGAATCTAGTGGTGATAATATTGTTAATCAAGGGTTCAAGTTTTATGGACATCAAGAACCAGGATTAACGGGACAAGTTCCGAAACAACCGTCAGACTCAATTCAAAACTGCTTTCGAAACATAACTTCTTTTCTTTTACTCTCGAAAATGTATATATCTAATCTCATTCATTCATCCTGTAGCAATTAAACCGAGCATTAGTCCCTTGCGGCCTTCCTCCCCCACCTCGCGATTGGTCTATATGTCTAGAAGCTAGCCTGCTCTTTATCTTCTGGGATAACTCTGTCTGTAAAACGTCCAGTATGAAATCAAGTGCCAAGAGTTATCGATCAAACTTGTCCTATCTTCACGAGTTGGGTCCTGATCCTTCAGTTGCAGTAGCCAGAAGTGGCATCCAACTCTGGATGAGAAATGCGTTACAGAAGAACAACATGCTTGATGCCACTGGCTTTTTGCGCGTAGACCGAAGGAAGCAAAGAAAAAAAAAAAAGGCACTCACGGTCACAGACACGCTTTGCTAGTTTGCTTGCAGTTGGATGCATATAGCTCACTGATGATATATTATCGACAAGTTTTAAGTTTGTTGGTTGCATTGTATAACTTGTACAAACATATAGTTCTGAAGTCGTGTCTATTCTATGGTGCAAGATCCATCATGTAATCTAATTAGAACAAAGTCGTTGGTTTATGAGTTGGTGTATTTACTTGCAGTTTCACGCGTTAAATTTAATGTAGTTCATGTGTCAATCAATCCCCAGTTGAGAAGAACACATATGATAGATACATCTAGGTTCCAGTATACTGTTACTTCCACAAAAGAAAGACAGAAGTGATGATTCGTACGTATGTGCATATATATATTCCAACTAGCTCTTTTGATGATATGATAGATAAAAATCTTTTCTTTGGCATTGTGGGTCTACATGTGGTGCACATCATCCGAACGTGTGGATCCTCCCAAACTGGGTTTTCAATTTTCAATATTCCAACGTGCATGGTTTTCAGCTAATGAGTTATAAGAGATCCCCTGTTCTTGACGACATAGGCAGGTTTTCTGCTAGTAAGCTACAGAGATCCGCTGCAAGCAGCAGAGCAGCTAATCCGCTTGAATATACAGCGAGTTACAAGAGTTGAAGGACTTGGATAAAGGTTATGTAAATAGGCCGCCCACGTTAAAACTGCAGAGTATTTGTTTTTCATGCAAACGTCCAAGTGACGGCTTCCCCACAACTCATATACTAGCTTTTTACATTGTGAAAGGAAAGGAAGAATAAAAGTTCCGATAAGAAATTGTACGAAACCGTGTGGACAGCCGAATTAGGGGACAGCCGTTTTCTGGACCCTGAACTGTCTCAACGCTTGATGCTGGGGAATGTGGGATGAGCCCATACTGCAAAAAAACCGTCCACGGATATACAAGAAGAGGAAGAAGACTGATGATAATAGTAATAATATATTGTAATGTATCCATGTGTATAATAATCTGTATTGGGTATGAATATTTTTTTCACAGTGGTACATTTTCAGTTTAGCCTGCTGAAGAAATTTTACTCGGCATATAATATAACATCTGCTAATTTTTTTTTTAAAAAAAAAAACATGTTTTAGAGTGTTCGATAGGATTAAGCCCGCCCACCTGATCATTTATTAGCCTGCATAAACTCATCAACTGATACTTCCGAACTGCTGTCAAGTGTAAAAAGAAAATTGTGGCGTTGCTCTTCCTCTTGGTCTTTCCTACTCAAACCAGTCCAGTTAAGCACAAAAGTTTGGTCGCACTTTTACGAAATGGAATAGACCTAAAGAGGACATGTGGAAGCCAGACTGTGAATACCCCCAACATTGCGACGACTGTGGCTGCTTTTTTGGTGGAAAATGCTTGCGTTTCGTATACAAATCTTTGGTCTT